GGGGGGGGGTGGGGGGGGGTCCCCCCTTGCCACGCACAGGCTGGTACCAGGGGAGGAAGCCATGGTGGCATCTGAGAAGCCTCAGCCCCTCTCTCAGTGCGAGGTGCCTGTGAAGTCCCCAGCTGTAGGGAGAAGCCAGAACTCAGATAGCAGAGAGCGAGTCCTTGCATTTGAGGACATGCCATGTGCTGGGAAGGCTCTGCTTAATTTGTCTGAAGGAAATGCCAACAAAAGGAAAGGGAATCAGTGTGGGATGGCCAGAAAGAAAGATCAGTTCGAGATCTTGTTCTAGCCCTCAGCTCTCACGCAGAATTTGCGTGACCTTTTCTAAACCACAGGGCCATGTGGGGCCTCCTTGCCTCATCTATAAAAGCAGATATAGGCAGTTTCATGCCACACGCAGGGCTTGTGAAAATAAAGGCTGAAGCACAGAAATCACCTCCTAGCAAGGTGTTGAGGCAAACCTTCTCTGCCATACCAGGTGGCCCCTTTGCAGGATGGTTCAGGTCTTTGTTCCATGCATGGCTTTGGGGAAGAGCAGAAGAGCTGAAGGCAGCAGGCTGGGGGGGCTGTGGAGGGAGGATTCTTCCTCGGGTTGAGGCAGGAGCCACCCCCCTTTCCCACCAGCTACTTAGCCCTGAAATAAAAGGTTACCTGGGGAGGCAAAACGCTCCTGTTGTAGTCACATCGAGCCCCTGGGTGCAGTGAACACAGAAGCTGGTATGCTGACATCTTGGTAGCTGGATGATGGAATCTGGTGATGGACCCTTAATCCTGATGGGGGATTGTGGGGCAGGAAAGGGCTGTAGATAGATATTTAAGATGGCAGCACTTACTGATGATGCATCTCTCCTACTTTTGCAGGATCAGGGAGCGTCATAAGGCTCTCCATGAACGTCAGAAGGAGATCTGTGAGGACTACTACCCCTGCGACCTGTATGCTTTTCGCCACGGCTATGCTGCTGCTTACAGGCACTATTTTGGGAGGAGGAGGAATAAGTAAAGGATGTCCTGTCTCCACCTTGGGGCCTGGAGCCCAGGGTATTCTCCCAAAAAATGCAATGGCTCTGAAACATATTCAGTTGCTTGAGTCCCTGTATGTTATCCTGCCTGCTGCTTCTCTCCCATGTAGCCATGGATTCCTACACTGTGTTAATTAGTGCTGAGCTGATGTAGCAGAGATCAGAGAGAGTTCAGGATGTGGGTGTTTACTACACAATAAATTGCTGGTTTGATAGTATCTTCTCATGAGTCACAGTTTTTTTGGGGGTGTGTGCAATTTTCCATGAAGAAGCTGAGTTTGTTTATCATAGAATCTGGTGCAGATTATGGAAGAAAGTCACTACCTTGCAATCACATGAGTTTCAAAGGACCTACAATGTTTTTATTCCAGGATCTACAAGTGGTTTCTTTTAGAGTTCACTGGCAAATTTCCGTTCCCAGTCTTAAGACATCTTAAAATGGTGTGGTGTTCAGAAAGCAGGGCGAGATGTTCTTTTTGAAAATGAAATCTATAATATCTTTCTTCAGTTGGAGAAACAAAATTCAGAAGGTGCTTGTTGAATCTTAAAAACAAAGTTAGGGCAAGAGTTACTGTCAGAAACAGCCTGTAAATTGCATCTTGTCTATCCAGCTACCCTCAGGTCCTGATGTAGGGTGCTCCTGTAGAAAGGAGAGTGTGATCCAGACTTTACTCATATTTCCTTTTAGACTCCCCTTTCCTGCCCTTAATTCCACTTGGAATGATTCTGGTAGTGCTAGAAAGCTGCAGAAACCAAAGGTGAAGAGGGGCTCCAGGTGGTAAATAAAAGAAACTCAGTGTTTGGGGTTAAACCCAGCTTTGTTCACCTAGAACAATTTTATTTTACTGTTCATTCAAAATGAAGACGTGGTCTGACCCTGTCCACAGGTTGCTCAGCACCTCCTGGCCCATTGAGGAGTGAGCATGATCACTGTGGGGTTGTCACCAGCACCAGGGCACCTCGCAGAGCCTGTCCCCAGGCCAAAAGGCACCAGTGCTGACATGCCCAAGAATTCAATACTGCTCTGGGCTGGTCAGCAGTCACAGCAGCTCAGAGACCCCTTGGTGTGGTGTGTGAGTAGACTTAACATCTAACTCGGCTCCGCACAGCTGGTTTCAATAGTCACATCTCCAGGCTTCTACAGGCACCTGCAAATTACAGAAGTGGGAAAGATTCATGGCACGCTATCAAAGGCTGTGAAGTATAACGTATCAAATTGTTGACTATTCTGTGAAATTAAGTCTAGAGCCAAATCTACCTGCCACATTAGAAACATGCATCTTCTTGCAAAATATGCTTCAAGGCTTTGCCAGCTTGGAAGATGAACTTCTGGAAAGAAAAGTGATTTATTTATTGAAAACATGTCTGATAGGAAACTCCACCCTGACAGATGCAAAAGTTTTGTCCAAAGGCAAAAATGAGAGATAAATGAGTTTAAGGGAAAAAAAGCCATACGGATTACGCAGATTTGCACCCACACTTGTTCTGTATGCTCCCAAAGAGGTGAATCTTACACTCATGAACCAAGGCAAAACTTTCATACCCTAAAGTCAACAAGTCTGTAGTGTCTGGGTTTGTCTGACACTGTGACACCACCAAAATGGAAGGCACAGGGCTAGTGCTGTCTGAGTCTGTGTCCAGAAATATCTGGCAATCCCAACCTCTGGTTTACCAGTGTAAGTAATGAATAATACCAGAGATTTCTGTGGGATTTCATCAGTGTAAGCAATAACCAAACATGTTTAAGAGACTGCATGCTGGTTAGAAAGCTTGGGAAAAGTTGGGAAGAGAAGTAAAGCTGTTTGGATTACTAGAATTGTATGTTTATATTCTTTCAAGTTTTCTTCTGGAAGCATAACTTTCCTAGAATACCTGTTATTTTTAGATATTTATTTATTTTCAAACGGTTGCTCTTTACGACACTTTTGCTGGAAGTTGTTAGTATATATATTCAGTCTTTCCTGGACCGTAGAAGAGTTAAACTTTTTTTTTTTTTAAATCCTGAAATTTCTCTAAGCTAAAAGACAGTGTTCCTAGGGATTGGCACAATCCCAAATGGCTCTGACTGCCCTTGGGAGCCTCTTAGGCTTTAATTCTGTAACCCTTGGATGTCTCCCTGGCACGTGGGGCCGAGGAGGACTGGATGTGAGGTGAAGGAAAATGTGATCGATGTGCTGTGTTTGGGACATGGCTTTGGGAACTTGGGTGGTGGGTTTGGGGAGTATGAGGCTATTGGTAGATCGGCTGTAGAAGAGCCCATTCAGGGCTCTTGACATACCAAGCAACCACACCCACTCAAGTCCTGAAGAATCAAAGACTTATGGAGTTTCAAGGTTTATTTGATTTTTAGACAAGAGAAGCCAAACTAATAACCTCCATGCTAGGAAAATTTCCAGGAAGAAACCAGAAAGACCCTCTCCCAAACTCACTACCAAAGATCCCAACAACATAAAAATCTGAGCTCTCCAAAGTGGTTTGGTGAAACTGTGTAAAGTGAAAATCTACTGTGTGTTTGCCCTGTGCAAACCGTTTCATGGGTTTCTTTACCTTCAGGTGAATGGGTCAGGCTGGGGTGAGGTAAAAGAGTCACCACTGGGTTCAGTTGCATTTGATTTTCCACATGAGAGAGCTCCATCACCCGAAAGGAGCTGCTCTGCTTCAGGGTGTGCTGGTCTCTCCCCTGGCTTTCTGGCGAGAAGCTGAATGACTTTCATGCTTATAATAAAACTGATTTTTTTATCCAGTTGTTTTTCTTCAACAGTCCCATTCAAAACCTCAGATAAAATCTTCTGGAAATGCCACAAGTCCTGAGACGGATGTCGAAATGGCTGCCAGGACCCTATATCTCCTGGCCCAAAGGACAGGCTTTATTTTGGAGCTCAGACACAGGAACACAAGCCAGAGTCCCGATGTCTCCAGGCGATCACAGGATATAAACTGCTGCCTGAAAGCAAGTTCCGGAGAACTTCAGTAACCTCCAGGAAAGCTCTGAGGTTAGGGAGACTAGCGCAGCCAAAGAAGACATGAGGAGTCTGCTGGCACTGCTGATTGTGACTCTGGCCCTGGCAGCACTCTGCTATTGCGAGAAAGGTAAGGGGACGAATTCCCGGGAAGGCTCCCAGGAGCGCTGCTCAACCCCGCAGCTTGCCATCAGCCTCCCTTCGGTCTGGGAGAGACGCAGAGCTTTGGAGGGAGGAGGTGCACTACCCGTCATTGCACAGCTTCAGGTCTTTGTCCGAGGGAGAGAATCGCGGATGGGAGAGGGCTCGGGGATAGACAGCCTCATCTCTTGTGTTTAGCATTTAGGTGAACAGGCAAAGGTATGCTGGATGCTCACTCTTGAGTAAGAAGGTTGAGCTGCCAGCAGAGTTGTGTCGACTGCAGGGAGGGGGATTTTGTACCTGCCAGCCCTGTAATGCTGCAGGATCGCAGAGGTAGGCACAAAGTCAAGCCTACACCTGCTGAGAAATGCAGGATGTGGAGAACTTCTGGAGGGAAAAAAATTCCTATCGGTAGTTAAAAAAAAAAGGGATTTGTCCCACTGAAATAAGAGCACATCGCATTTGAAGGTGATTTATCCATCGTGACTTTATGATCAAGAGAGAACAATGTAGTGGCAGCTCTATAGCCGATGGAGAGGGAAGGGGGGAAAGATGAGAGAAACAAGCGTTTTCCCTTTGCAGCAGGAAAAGAGAAGCCGAGCAGGAGAGCGCCCTGTCTTTTCTTGTATTACCCCATTCAGAGTTAAATTTCATTCAGTCCTTGGCATCAGATGTGTCATGATTCAATACTGGCAAATATGTTTTGTTTGATCTGTCAGCGTCTCTCTCACAATTTCACTCCTGAGGGTTTTTTTAGTCATTATTATTATTCCAGATTGCTTAATGGCCTTGGAGTAACTTCTAATTTTTTTTTTTTTAATCCAAGGAATGCATGCATAGCTTAAAAATAGAGCTACACACAACCTTTTTCATATAAAGTTTTTGTTTAAGCACAGTTCTTATTTTTTTGTTCTCTAGAGTCCTCTTTCTGCCCATAAATACACTTATGCCAAATACCTGGTGACTTGCATGGTACTGACATTGTTGAAGATAAATATGGTGAAATAGCAGAAGAAAAAAAATGTAAAATAGGGCAGTGTGGAAGAGCCAAGATTAGGAGACCTACCATTTCTCCTAGAGGATGCTTTCCTTGCGTGTTTGCAGGGAGCGTTAAGGATAAAGGATTAAGATTAGGACTGAACACAGAAATACAGTGTGTAAATTCCTCTTGGGAGGGCTGGTGAGCCAGGTACCTCAACCCTGAGCCACATAGCTGTGAAGGTAGAGTTGTTCCTAATTTTTGGCCCTATTTCCCTTCCCTATCAATAGTTTGTGATTTTTCCCTAGAGCTAAGGAAACCTCTCTTTCCAAAGAGTGAGGAGATGCTCAGCTATCTTCAGGTTCTGTCCAAATTCAGCGTTTTTGCACAAATGGTCCCCTAGGTCTAGCTGTGCCTGCTCTTCACAAAGGTGGGGAGGGAGAAGGAGGAAGGTCTTCCTCCAGCTTCCACAGTGCTTATACGGTCATTGTGTCATTTAATCTAGCTCAGAGGAAGTTGAAATTAAATAGATCCAGGCATAATGGGTGAATTTTGTTGTGGTGGAGAAGTTCTATCCCTAATTGGTGGGTGTTAATAAACCCTTTTTTTGGGAGGAACAGACTTTCTGGGGAATGGGGGGAGCTGGATCCACCCAGTAAGCAATAGAGTGGAGCAGAGGAGGAGGACTCACAAGCAAACTCCTCTCTGTCTGTCTGTCTGTCTGTGTTCCAGATCCCAAAGACCCCTCAGGACCTCCCAGCGCTGCCAGTGAGTATACTGTTGTGATTGATGCTCAGCTCCATCCTCCTGCATCTGCTTCCCTTCTTCCCTTTGATAGGTTCAAGGGATGAACAAGAACCGTGCTGAGTCCCTCCAGCTGCTCCCTTTTTGCTCCCTCAGCACTGCAGTCTCTGCTGCCTTTCACAGCCACGGGGGCAGGAGGCACCAGGGAGGTCAGCCTCCCTGCACCGGCAGCCCAGCATCGCTCCGGGTGCGCTCGTGCCATAGCCCGCATCTCCAGAACCCTTGAGCAGCCCCCAGGCAAGACGCCAGTCCCGCAGGTTGTTAGCAGCTGGATGCATCTGCCCTCTGTGAAACAGGGTGATGTGAGTGGAGCAACACGGTCAGTCTCCTGGCTTCTTGGAGCTGGCCTCAGAGACCTATCCAAAGTGACTGCTGCCGTCCCCAGAGTGTTAAGAGAACAGAACCTGCCCCAGGGCCTCCAGGCACTGGTCTTTTGGATCTGCTGAGCAGCCAGTCCGGTGTGCAGGATCACAGAGCAGAAAGGTTTGGTGCCACACAGCAACAGGCTGTGTCAACCTTGCCGAAACCCACAACGTGGAGACCCTGAAAACAAGTGCCTTCCTTGGCTGCTCCTGAGGGCTTCAGGACACCCCCCCTCTGTCAGGTTACCTGGGACATGGGGATTTGCATAACTTGGGATGTCCACAGCTTTTGCAGCAAGCCGATCCTGGCAGAAATCTGTATGGAAAATCCCCCTCGTTCCTCCCTGTCTCTTCTTTCTCACACCTTAAAGGATAACATTGCTGCCGGGGAACATGAAAGCTGGTATTTCTCTAGTGAGTCAATGCAAACACAGATTGGGAAAGAGAAAAAAAATGCAGAGTGTTCAGGGAAAGGAGGTGGTTTCTGACAGCTTGGCAATTTCTGTTTAGTCAGTATTTTGATCCAGACTAAACCCCAGCTTGCTAGAGAGGGGGCATCTCTCACCTACCAAACAGAAACACAGTCAAACATGCCACGATGATGAAGAAAGGGCACAAAGGCCACCGCCTCCCCATAGACAGAGGTCTTAGAAACTGTGTTCCCCCAGCGGCAGTAACAGTTTGCCAGTTTATCTGCTGAAACATGTATTGGTGAGCAGCTCCCTGAGCTGCTGGTGCTCTGGCATTCATGCATGCCTCTGCTGGTGTGGGTCCGTCCCATGGAGTAAGGCTGTGCTGTGCTGGGAGCGGGCGACAAAGTGGCTCTACCTGCTGTTGTTGGGGGGCTCCACAGCACCCCAGAGTTTGCAAAACCACAAATCCAAGGGAACAAATAAGCAACTGTGCTGACACAGTGTGTTAGTGGGGACTAGGGGCCACTGCTGTCATGGCAGAAAGACCTCTCATGTTCTCCAGGTGCTTGAACACCAGGATCTTTGCACTTACTGGGTGTGTGTGTTTACTCTCATTATTTTATACCCTTCATTCTTCATGGAACTCTGCACATGTGCGCATTGGTATTTGCATGTGCTGCCTGTTGCTAACGGCTCATTAGAGGCATTTTAAGGCCTGGTGGCTGGTATCTCACATCACTCTCAGTCTGAGTCAAAATATAGAAAAGACCCTGAAGTAAAGCGGGCCAGGGAGAGAGTGCTATTCCCTTCATTTTCTCCTTATTTGTATTTTATGCTGTCATGACTTTGCCTTCTGCACATTTGCGGTGGACTCAGATCATGCTGTGTGATAAGCGAATAGAGTTGATGACAGAAAAGGCCCCTGTTCCGTGTACGTATGCAGGTTGGAGTGAGGAAGGAGCCCAGTTGCTGGACAGTGGGGTGGGGAGAGATGAATGGGTGATTAGAATGGGCCGTGATAGTAATCTGCTTGTGAAGAGAGTAGGCTGTCCCTTTTCAGAGGTTAGACTGCTCTTCATTTTGCATAGACCATGGCCCTGCATCTCTGACCTGCTGTATTCTCTCTTGGTAGGCATCAAGATTAAAAAGGAAGTTGCCAATGCCTTTGTGAAGAGGCAGAAGAGATCCAGCCTGTATGAACGGTAACGACTCAGGAGTCAGGCTGAGAGCTGGACTCTGGACCTGTTCTGAAGAGGGGGTGGGAAGACAACAGAACATGACAAGGCATAAATTTGCTGTACATTTATGTTATTACCTCCATGTGTAGAAGCAAAAAGGTTGTAGGAGACACTCATTGATAGATAAATGGTTCTTTTTTTCATAAATATCCTTTTGAGAGCTCATAGCTGGATTCTGTTATTCCTCCCAGAAAGACAGCACTAGCTTCTGGGCCAGCCATGGGGACAGCAGGATACAAGTCAGAAGCTGCTCTAACCTGCAGGGTCATCAGAGCCAATTTCTAGGATAATGAGCATCACAGAGCCTTGGTCATTGCCTCTGGCTCCCTACAAAGGAAGCACAGCTCCGCTGGAGGGATGAGGATAGATCAGATTGGCTGCTCTTTCTGAAGCTCTAGAACCTACACCCATTTGTGCAGAAATCCTAGGCATGAAGATTTGGAGAAATCCTAGCTATAAACATTTGGAGAAATTTGAGGTCATGGAAGAATGTTATTAATGTATTTCCTGAAAGAGTTTGTTAAGCCATTGTCTCACGTAGGCCTGTGGTGAAAAGAATTTTTATTCAATCTGTCTTTGGGCTAGAAGGATAATGTTTTTAGATAATAGAAGATTGGGAGGCCCCATCTGTAGAGGAGAGGATCAGAGTACTGCAGCAGCAGAACAGGCTGATGTTGAAACCTGCAGTGATTAAAAACAAGATGAAATTGAAGTAGCAACTGTACTGACTGTACTGACTACCCCCTTACAGGTGGTGCATTGTAAAAGTAGCTTCTGCTGTAAGCATTAATTGGTAAGGACTGAGGTAGACAGACAGCTCAGTGTATTATTTGATCATGAGGTACAGTTAATCTGGAAATAGGAATGCAACAAATGGAATTCAAGGGTGCTGCAGGGTTTCTCCAATACAGAAATAAGGAAATTCATGAGATACTGGTGGGACTTCTCCTGTAGCAGAAAAGACTAACCAAACCTGAAACAGGAGTTGAAAAGTGCATCCAGAGCATGTAGCTGAGACTAGAAGATTTGGGCTTGCTTAGCCTGGCAAAAGAAAAGCTGAGTGGGGACAGTATTGCTGTCAAGAACAGAGGTGAGAATGATGAGAGGAAACTCCTTAAGCTAAAGGAAAATAGTGGCTAGCGGGAAAGTGAGCAGAAACTAGGAGCAAATAAAGGTAAGCAGTAAATGATTAAATAAAAAATAAAATAAATAACAACAACAAAGATTCCTGGGTAGCTGGGGAATGGGGTTGGGGACAAAAAAAACCCCACCCTAACTGCTTCTGTGGTCTCCTTTGCTGATAAAAACCTCAAGAGCAATTGCTTTAAGTTGGATTCAATTCCAACTCTTTCCAGCATTAATTAAGTAGTATATCCCTGTGTAGCGACCTACACAGGGATATACTATGTTTATAGTATGTTTAACTCACCAAGAGATATCCAGCATTAATTAAGTAGTATATCCCTGTGTAGGTCGATGTTTAACTCGCCAAGAGATGTCCTCTGTTGGGCCACCCTGGGGAATCTCTCTTCTCATGTTCCTATCACAGGTATGATACCTCTCCAGCTGCATTGACTGAACCTGCAGAATGGCATCTCTCTCTTTGTCTACTCCAGGTACTTGGAGTATTACAGAAGTCCAATGGAGCAGATGCATGAGCGTTGTGAAAACTACCCCCCCTGTGACTATCTCTCTGACCAAATAGGATTTTCCATGGCCTACAACCATTTCTTTGGGAGATACTAAGGATGGGACGGTCACTTCGTTTATTTTGCTTGAGACGGATCTGAACCCCTCAGGAGAAAGAAGGTTGTGGGTGGGAAGGAGGGAAGAAAAAACATCTAGACTGGGGTCTTCTTCAGAACACCAAGGCAATAATTATCCCATTCGTTGAGCTTGCATTAGGTTTCTTCCTTTCATCAAAAATCTCTCTTCAGTTGTCTTTTGTGGTATTTTGAGCTTCACCAGAAATGATTGAGAAGACTGTGTCTCACCTCCTTCCATTCGAATCCCCAGGACACAATACATGAAAAATTATGATTCCTCTCAAGAAAATCAATGTGTAACTTAGAAATATAGCAAGACGTTTTGTTGTCTTCTGCAAAATGCATGAGGATTATGGAGGGAGAATGTTACAACATGTGGAAGCATGATGGATCTGATCCTGGGATACTCACTGGGAAGAAGACAGTGTGGCTGCCTTCTGGTACAATGACTTGGAGAGTTCAGTATTTTCAGGTAGAATAGTCACCCTATATGTGCCAATGTAGGATCATTTGGCAAGGATAGAAGTGTGGAAATACCGGTACGTAGCCAGAAATCAGTTTCTGGTACACTTTTCTGATTATTCTGTCACAAAACTTGCCTGTATAACAAGATCCGATAAATCCCCAAAGGTGTGTTTGAGGAGTCCTTTTAGACGAGCCCTTCCATTTCTGTGCTGCATTCAATGACTGTAAAAAGTAGCTTGGAAATCTCTTGTTATTTTTGTTGCAGTTGGTTTCTGGTGAAACTGAGTATACCCAAGCAGAACAACAAAATGATCTGTTCCTCTCTGTTGCTTTAGTATTTACGCTTGAAACTAAATGCATCTAAACAGCTCCAAAAAAAGCAAGCAAACAAACAAAAAGCAATAAACTTGATGAAATAAACAAAAAGAAAATTGGTTCAAGGATGGATTGAAGCTGGGTCAGCATCTGGTTTATTCAAGGCAGCTTGTATCTCTCTCACGGATATATATAAAAAGTGTGTGTGTTTATATACATATCCTCTTCCCTCTGCACTACTTCATTCTGTCCCCTCGTATGAATATTATACCTTAGCAACCTTCTGCACAGCCTCCCTTGATGTTATCTGTCAGCTTTCCTTCCCTGAGAGGTAGATGGCAGATCCCGTCTTGAAGGACAGGGACTGTGGACCCTCAGGAGCCTGAGAAAGACCGAATCTCTCTGGCTGTGTGTAAGCTGGTGCAGCCATTCCCAGCTGCTAACTGCAATAAATACCGCTTATGTAAAGCACGTTGGTATGCTGCTTCCCTCTGTTCCTCTGCAAAACCTTCATCTGCCGTTAGGGATGCCTGGAAGAGAAAGCCTGCTCCTACAAACCCTGAAGAGCAGGATGCAGGTGCGTGAGGCTTCCTTCTCCCCTCCTGTGCCCCAGTGTGAATCAGAAGCGACTACACTGAGATGCAGGGCACGATCCCAGTTCACCATGACAGTGAGGGAGAGGAGGGCCAGGCTTCTCCCCTTTCACCATCTACTGAGTTCAGCATTTCTCTGAAAGACCTTGCCCTGAAGTAAGGACACGGGGTAAGTCCGCAGAGCTGGCTGCCAGCGTGAGTGTGAACATCTCTTGTTTGGCAAGCTGTTATGACTTGCACCAGCTACGCTGACCTTGGCCAAGGCGAAAACAGTTAATAAGTACCTCTGCTTGTCTTGGGGAAACACCTGGGACTGGTTTCTCTATTGGCATAAACTGATGGGGCTTCACTGCTCACAGCAGAGCTCTCCTCTGAACACCACCTAGTAAAAATGAACAAAGTGCTCATTGAAAGCAGTGAAAATCTAGCTGGGAAAAATACTAGAGGGACTAGCGAAATCCTAATATCTGCTGTACTAACAAGTTAGGGGGGTTGTTGCTGTTGTATGGTTTTGACTGCTAAGAAAGAAAATCAAGCTTCCTGTCTATATTTGCATCTTTCTGTTAGTTTTCTGTTTTTCTCTCCATTTTGGTAAATGTTTTTTCTGAGAAGTTACGCACAAAAGCCTTGCGCATGTCATCTGCTCTGTGTCACCAGAGCTCTGTATGGGCTGAAGTCATTGCGGCCTTTGGGGAGCTGAATGCACAAATCAGATTACAATTTTACTGCTGGAATGGAGGAGCTCGATTTTCACCTGGTCAATGCAGCTTTAGGTACCACTACAAATCCTCTGCTGCCATCTTATGGCCATGCGTTGCTTTTGAAGTGTTTGAAAACTTAAATCCCGTGGCCTTTCTTCCTCATTCACTTCATACTACAACATACATTAAGGGGCCAGAAGGGGAAGACAGGCAAGCGACATAACCTGTCGCTGGATTGACATTCTAGTGGGACTGTTCATCCTGATTCTCAAGCTCCTGCTGGAGCCTGTCACAGTTTAGCTCCTTTGTATCTTTCTGTGAACCAGAGAGGAGATGCCTCTGAATAAATTCACAACCCCTTCTCTGGACTCACTGCTAGCAGTCAAAGAACGGCTTTCTGAAATACAGCCCAAGATAATAGAGCAATTCCAAGAAGGAGAAGTAGACAGGCTGCATTTATCACTTTGCATCAACCTTCGTGTCATCATCTTGTATCACCAGCGGCTGCAGATACTGTCAGCAGCATCATCTGGTGCAGTGTTACAGATCACTTTGAAAGCAACCCAGTATGTGACCTTTATGTCATCTCTCACCCTATTTCAGCAATAGTCGGCAAATGCTCTCTGTCCACGGAATCCAAGCAGCTGCACAAACGTCTCATTTCTCAGGGAATCGCACCACATCTGCAGGTGTCCCCCTCACCCAGCCTGTCACTAGCAGGCAATGGAAATGGACTTCATGCCTCTGTAGTCAGAATGAGGCCCTGATTCCTCCTTTTGGTTCTTTTTCCCTGCAGAAGAGTTAGAAGAAGCCATGGGGCCTCGCAGGTGAGTAACTCACTGCTGTTATTTGGAAGGGTGACTGGAAAGCAGCTGCTAGGGAGGGGTTTGTCTCAGCATAGAATCTGTATTTACACAGTCATTTTGAGTGTACCCAATGTAAACAGTTCAACAAAGTGCCACTCTGCAGTGGTGTATGGGTAGGATTGGCAGTGCATTATTAGAAACCAGGGGGAGCTAAGGAGGAAAAGGACAGTTACTTTATCTCTGCCTCCAGATGGGATCCCAACCTACCCTGCATTTCGGTGTTGGCTTTATCAGAGCTCTGCACTTCTTTAAAAGGGCTTTTTAAGCTCTTGACCAGGGAGCCTCTGCCTCATCCTGATACATCACTCCTCAGGAGAGAACTGCCTTAGACTTCACCAAGCCAGAGTTTTCCTCCTTTTTGCAAAAAACAAGAACACCAGATCCCTTGGAATTAAGAGAAGTATCAAGGTGAAGGACACCTACACCAGCTGGAGTTGGCACAACCAGATCCTTCCTTATGGACTGTGGGCACACTTCTACCAGTAAACTGTTTGGTTTTATTAACAACCTCTGAATTGCTGTAAGAATTTGGTGAATGATCTTTGGTTGAAGAATCGTCGCCAAAACCTGAGTGCAAATTGCAAACTGCAGAATTTTCCAGTTCAAGAAAAAAGGGAAAGAAACAGATGTAAATAACCTCTGCTTGAGCTCCATGTTCTTTACAGTGTCTTGGGTGGACTCTAGGATGCCAGTGCTGCTGGCCAGCCTTCTGTTGCTGATCTCCTTGCAAAGGCTGGTAAGAAGGGGTAAACACTATTCTTTATTTGAAATGGTGAAATTGCTCATCCTACTGAAATAAAACTTTTTTTTTTCTTTTTCATTTGAAACTTGTTCTTTAAGGAGCTCTGTGTTCAGCTTAAACTCTTCTGCTTTCAGTTGCTCTGTTCCATTTCTTACTTGTCCTAATTCCTTTTAACTATTTGGTTGGAAATTTGCTCTTGTTTAGAGCCAGATGTTTTCCCAGGGTGTGTTTGTGAGTAGATCTCATGGAATTGTTCCTCTCATTCTCCAGCCTATCTTGTTGAGGCTCTGACAAAAGCAGCGTGGTGTTGCCTAGGACAGAGGCAATACTGCTCTATTATTTGTAACTGCCTTTTAGCTTTCTCTCAAAGCAATTAGGGTACCATGGAGAAATAAACTGAATCCCTGTATAGTTTATGGGCCAGCATAAATTCAGAGGCTAATAAAGGTATCAATCTGGTTATGTGTCTAGGTTGAATATTTGAGATGAAGTGAGTATCTACTTGGAGAATTCAACTGTCAACTGATTACAGTACTTGACTAGCCTACTAGGAGACCAAAGAGCGAGAAGAACAATGTCATAACTCACACTATTTCTTAGTTCTTATCACATAAGTTTTTTATTAATTAGAAATGCTAGAAAACAGATAATTAGTGTGCTATCTCATAGACAGGATATATTAGAGGTTATTTTCCTGTTATAGCACCTGTTTGTGTAAATCCCTACTCATGTGTTTAATACTTAATTACATGACAAGCCCAGCTGGCCTCACTAAATCAAACTGGATGAATGGAAGTTTTGACACAGTGCTGCTGTATTGTAGCACTGAACATCATTCTCTGGAGCCAAAACATGTCCAAGAGGAATGGACAAGACAGGAAGAAGAAATTCACCCTTGAGATGTGTTGAGGCTGCATTGCCCCCAGCACACTGTTTTGCTGCTTCTTTCTCTCTTCAAACCTATATACTATTCATGAGCAGAATATTGAAATAAATGGACCATGGGTCTGTCCCACAGGCTCTATACCCTCACCCTCTGAAAGGCAAACTCTCCTGAAGTTTTTAATGCTACTGATCCACATAAAATAAAAACTCTGGCATCCTGGCTGGCATTTGCCTGAGGTGGGGCTTGGACAATAATCTGAGTTTGCTCAAGAAAAGCTCGTCAAAGATGCCTACTTGCTGTGCTTGCTCTGCCAATAACGACAGAGGCAAGAAGATGGTAGGGAAAAACCTGGTTTGCATCCATAGAACTATACAAAAAGTTCATGCTTCTCATGCTAATCTTAATTTGCTTTTATGTTGCAGGCTCTGTCCAACCTCATGATGGATATGGCTCTGCATTCCTTCGATGACCAGTATTTGGGGTGCAGAAAGCAGATGATGGAAGAACTGGAGAGAGGAGACTATTTCCAAAAGGAAATAGCTGCTAACAAGGACTATTTGAGTCTCTGGAAGAAGGCTGAGGTGGCTTTGTTAAAGAGACCTGTAGGTCTCCTGAGGGAGATGAGTGAGAGCCATGCCATAGCCCTCATGGCTTACACCATGAACTCTTCCCTCCACTCTCAGCTGAACTGGGCCACATCTACAGCAGGAAGCTCTCCAGAGCACTACAGACACAACTTCAGTTTCAAATATTTTCACTTTTACCTAACAACCACTATCCAGATAATGAAGCAATGGCAGAGCAGCAAGGACAGCATGGGAAAACAAAAGTGCTACCAGGTGCACAGGGGTGTAAAAGACTTATATATTGAGGCCACGGTAGGCAGCAGGGTGCGATTTGGTCGTTTCACTTCCACCTCCCGCCTCTGGAATGAAGCCCAGAAGTTTGGGAATGAAACTTTGTTCACAGTGATCACTTGCCTGGGAGCAGCTGTGCAAGCCTTTTCTTACTACACGTGGGAGAAGGAAGTCCTCATTCCCCCTTACGAGATATTCCTTGTCAAAAGCTTCTTTCGGACACAGCACGGTAACCGGCTGCATCTGCATTCTGTGGGGAACTACAGCAAGTACCACTGCCAGCTCGTGGAAGGTATTGTAGACAGCCCTTCGTGCAGGGGGGGTGCGGGACAGTCTGGTCTCAACTGCCCCAAAGAGCCCTCACCAGTGGCACTTACATGGGGCCACACTCAAGGCCAAATCTGTAGCTTGCTCGCTGTGTTCGCCTACAAGAGCCACATAACCCAGTTTTCATCTGTTTGTTGTGAAGCCTGGGAGCACCCTGAAGCTCACTGAAAATCAATCCACCTGACAGCAGGTCTCAGGGTTCTTTGCAGCCTCCACTTATCCCATCTGCCATTGCAAGGATGTCATAGGACACAAGCAAATGCTTTCCTACTGCATTCCTACTGCAAGGGCAGATGAGATCTGCAGGCAGCTTGAATTCAGACATTTATTCCGGTGGCTTGCAAGGCTGCTACATTTCAAGCCCCAGGACAAAACTATTGCTGCTTTAGTTGTGTCCTCTCTCCTGTGTCAGAAAGGAGGAAAGTTATCCTTTGGCAAAGCACACATTGTGAGTATCCGGGCTGCAGAGATAACTATTCTGTGCTGCAAGACCTCACTGGGCCTGTTCCACAGCCCTGTCCTTCTGTGAGTCCATCACCAATATGGGACTCTTGCTTTCATCTTTTTGAACAACAGTGCGTTAATGCAACCTTTGAGCACAAAGCAATCATTCAGGAATGAAAGTTTGCGCCTGGACCTAAGCCAAAATAGTAGGCAGACCTGAGGAAATGGCTCTTCTGGGCAAAGGATGTGTTAGTAAGCCCAGGAAGCTTTAGGCAGCCAAAAGAAGTCTAAATGACTGCTCTCTTGACTTTCTTTCAGCTTCAAGAAGCAAGAACAGTGGTTCTACTGCCTTCGCCTCTGCTGTTCTTCCTAGCATCGTTGGAGTTTTCTTGTGCTTGGTCCGCAATGACTGATTCTCTGGCTGCATCCCGATGTATACACTTGAACAGTGGGCAAGAAGAATTCACAGGAAATCAGCCTCTGGAGTTCCTGTTGTTACACAAGGTTCAACCCTCCCTTTGCTTTCAGCTGCAGCTCTCCAGCTGAGACTGGAACATTCAGCCTGGTTCATCAAAACAGACATTCCCTGGACCCATTCAGGTAGAAGGGCAGTTATCCATGCCCTTTGTGAAGAGTAGGGCAGTGACACCCTTCACTGCAGGTAGCTTTTCCCTTAGGCATTCAGAAAGACACACATGGACTTTGGACTCTTTACAGATCTCTTAGTACCTTTATTTTTAGTGAGAAAGAGTCCATCTGTGGGATGCAAAAGGCACCATGGTGGTAAAGTTGAGTGGGTAACTGTGCAGCTTTGCATATCTGCTTTGAGTGCAGGGTCCCAGGGAACAGTAGAGTCTGTGGCTGCTGCTAGTGGTCTTCCCCTGCTGCGTGACTCCATCCACCAAAGCCATAGCTCTCATCTCAAGCTGACTGCCTGCATCCCACAAATGGGGGACAGAAGCATAAAGCTGCCTTGAGACATGAACTTAGCAGCAGAGGATCATGAGACTTGTCAGGCTTGTCTTCAGCTCTCATGTTGGACTCGAGCATTTCTTCTGAAAACTTCAGGCAGATCCTGTGTTCGTAACAGTCCTTTAGTGGCTGATGAATACATGCTGGTCATCTCACACTGAAGTGAAGGAAAGTCTGTGGAGCCCATTGCTGTCTTCGTGGGTGTTGAATGTGACTGAAATTAATTTACTTGCCTTTCTACTTCACCGGTCTGCAATGTCTAATGCTGAAGGTTGAATCAACATTGCAAATTGGAACTGGAACTTCTGATTTATCTATAGACTCCTCTCTTCTGTGTGTTCATTACCATTTCTGGAGCCTTAGACACCCAAGCCAGAACAGGTTTGAAGTTCTCCCATCTCCAAAAAATAACGGTATGTAAATTATAAGAAACATTTTCTGCCTGTAATTCCCCTTTCTATCATGCTTTGTTTGCTTCTTCACCCCTGGTCCCTTACCCCCTCACGCTAGCCCTGGGTGTCAGAGAGGTTTTCTCACTGGTCCAAAGAGACTAGTCATGGTGATTTAACTTTGCAGTGGAGTCATCAAATAATTGAACTGAAAGTCACTGACACATTTCACAAATCACCCCAGCTTTCAGTCATTGCTGATTCTGGCAGGGAGCTGGAGTTTGGCATTCACCATAGCCTGTCCAAAACAGTAAGCAACAAGTTAGCTATCCAAATGAGATCTTAACAGGAGAGAACTGCACAAGCTGCCCATCAGCTGGTTAGTCAAAAGTAAGGACAGCCAAAAGCACCGTGTGAACTGCTCGACTCTCAGAGCAGCTCCATATAAGCTTGGTGCTGCCATTCTGTTGAAATCCTGTGGCAAGGAATGAGAACTTAGGCACACGAGAACTATTAGCATTAGAAATGTAGGCACTTAAGGAATTTGGATGTCTTCAGGCTTTAGCAGATTAAATGAAGGAGACTGAGGCTCAGCATCTTGTGTATCAGATTTAGGTGTCTGTAATGGCAGAGGACATCATCTAATCATCTAAAACCTAGTAATATGTCCTGTGAAACTGAAATACTGTCCCTGAAATCCTAAAACATGCTTGCCCAGGAAGCTAAACCAGATTTAATACAGAACTATTTTACTATTAGCTTGTTTTCTATCTATATTTCATGTTACTTTCTTGTTGCTGTTGGTTTATCAGTGATTTCAAACAATAAGTTGTCAGAATTTGATTTTGACCCTTAAATGCTCAAAGATACTAAGCCCAGATTTCAAAAAAGAATGAAAATATTAGAAGCAGCTGCTGCGGATACCCCTTGTATGTGTGTTCAAATGTTCTTAAACTCCCATGTCAGAATTACAGGCATTAAGATGGATTTCTGGCACATCAGCACATTTATGCCTCTCAATGCTTATTTGTTATTGCTGGGATGCAGGCTTCAACTGCTTTAACAAAGGTTTGGAATCCTTCACAAGGTGGCTTCAGTATCCTGAAAGCCTCCTCTAAGTAGTCAGCTGCTATTTTCAGGCTTCTCTTTATGGATCTGTGTCCTCGAAGGACAGCCTGTAGGAAAATAACGAATGATGATGAGGAGGGTAGAGAGCGAAGCCTGAGCTGTTGTGATGTTCCACTTGAGGAGGAGCTGCCTTCTGTGGTACTCGGTGTCTCATTTTGTTGCAGCATCTTCACAATATCAGCATAGTCCATGAGAAGTTCTGATACATGGAGGGATAAGGCAGGTGAACTCAATAACTGATGAATAGCAGACTCTACTGTGTCAGGGAAATTATCATGTTTCAACATCACTGCAACGAGTACACCCATGATGCTTTCTACAACCCCCTTGTAATTATCATAAAGTTCCTTTACTGCAGCGATCTTGTCCTGCAATGAGGTGATGGGACCAGCAATCTTAGCATACAAACTGTGGCTGATGCTTTCCTGCACATCTTTGTCATTTGTTTCCACAGTGGCTTGCATTTCTTTCAAAGCGTTGACCAGGAGCTGCAGATTCTCTTTAATGCTGAAGTTTTCTTTTACTGACATGATGGGGAAGCTGGTGCCAAGATGCTCATTAAGGAGTCGGAATATCGTGTTGGTTGAAGAGACATAGATGTACACCAAGTCATACAGATTCTGGCAGGCCCTGACCAGCCTTTCTTTATCACTCTTAAAACCGAGGCGGGCTAACATTTCTGGAGTGGTGTGTGACTCTGAAAAGCAAACAGAGGAAATCCAGAAGACACAGAGGAATAAAACTGGATATATTTTCAGCTAGAATGTTACATTTCTGAAACCAATATTACACATTATCAACCCAACTTCACCCGTCCTCCCCAAGACATTACAGTTAGAAGAAAACACAGAAAAAGCTCTTTGTCAGCCTTTTCAGGGGTCTTACCAAGCAGGCCAGCAAAATATGGTGTAAACAGCTGCAAGTATCGTTGCCTCTTATGGCTGCAGGAAGTATGACTCTGACCTTCAGCATGCAGTCTGAAAAGCAATGGAAGTGCTGCAAGTGAATTATTCTTGCCTTTTGGTGATTATTGGTAAATTTATGGGAGTCCTAGCAAACAATTTACTTTACATCATCCTTAGAACTATATTCTTTCAGTTTGTATATAGCCGTGGGTCTACACAGAATTAAACTCACATTCTGGGGAGAGGGAATAGACACAGCAGAGTCAAATGCATCAGACATATACCTTCAAGAGGCAAATCAATTGAAGGCTGAGTGATGCAATGCTTTGTCAGGCTACAGTTTCCTGTGAAGTGACCCATTATCTGTCAGTTCATACAGGGCCTAGATGTTGTAAGCATCCCTTGAGAGGTGGAAGCACAAAACATTCTCCATGCTTGGACTCCCATCTTGCTACCATTTTGACTATCAAGGAAGTTATGTCCTGCTTGCACCTAAGAGTTCTCCCAAGGCCAACTGCAAGCACAGTCCTGGGACAGCACGCAGCTCAGGGACTGCTCCTGATTTTGTCTTTGCTTGTGCCAGAGCCCTGGAAAGCCAGACTGGTTGCAGCAGACGTGTTTCATCAGCTATTACTGTGGTTAGATGTGCAGTTAGATGCATCCAAGCAGTTGCAGCTTCCCATCCCACTGCATATTTTTTAAGACTTTTCTCTCACTGCTCAGCTCAACCCTCTGCTTCTTCCTCCTTCCCCTTCCTGTGGCAAAAGTGTTCTGAAATTGTGTGAAATGGCAAAATTGATTTTTCCCTCCATTGCTGTTCAGCCAGAGTTGGCTCTGGGGCTCCACACCACTTCTTCCACTCTCACGGCATCAGAGGAGAGGACCTGGGAAACTGCAGCAAAGAAGAGTGACAGGCACTCCAGATTAAGTCCTTCCCCCAAACTTAATAGGTCTGAAACAATAGCTATTAATCTTCCCTAAAGACCTGCAGTAAAGCAGAGACAAAACTGCTTGCTTATTGTTTAAATTATTTTCTGTCATGTTCCAAATGATAGAGCAGGGACTCTAGGAGAGAGGAATTCGCATCCACTGTAAACCATGAGGACCTGAAAGCAGTTTCCAGGCTACAGAATGTGACACAGAGGCAGCTGCCAGCCCGATGAGTTCAATTCTGTTCAATATCAGAAGTAGTATTTCAGGACTACATGGCATTCTCAGTTAATAACAGGAGTCACAACTAACTGACCATTGCAGAAATTTAATAGTTAAATCATTAGTGTTCTCTCTCAGCTTATCTTCTCATGCCTACAGCTCTGAAAACAAGGGGAGCCTGGTACTTTGGCTCTGGGTTGAACAGAATAGCTCAGCTTTCAGGGGAAAACAAACTGGCAGTGGCAGAGTACTCGTTTTATGCTTCATCTTTTACTTTCATCTGAGAACTTGACCATTCTCTACTGTGGAGGCACCACTCATGACCACAGCCTAGTGGGCAGCAGGTCCATCTTTCTAAGGATCAGAGCATGGAAGATGTCTAGCTTGGATGAAAGCAGAAGTACAGGCTTGTTTTGCTGGGACAGACAAATCCTGTTTTCACCGTCTGTGGTATCTATTTTTCTATTTGTGTGGGACTGTTCAACTTTTCTTCCATAACTCATAGGTACACAAAACCAGTCATGGCAACAATCCATTATTTCAAGAAACAGCTACAAGCATTGGCGTTTATTGTTTATACTTATAAACAATAGAAATTTAAAAAGCCCAGTACAAAAACTAATCCTGTATCTGTATGAACGAAAAGCACTGTCCTACATGTTTTATGTTCTGAGAACAGCAAGTAACACCATCCCCTTTCAGCCACGGCTGTAGGTACCTGTAATGGTACCTTTGTCATAGGCAGAGGGGTTCATGCTGTAGCTATTGTCTCCAGGAACAGAAGACCTTTGGAGGATCTAACAATTGGGAACTAGCATGCAATAAACTGAAACGTGTTAAAATTAGAAGGAAGGGGAAAGCAGGGAGAAAACTAAATGAATCTGAGTAAACATCACACAATAGAATTAATGACAAGCAGGCAGGCAACAGGACCCAGCTAAAGCCCAGGCTCTGGATCCCTAACTCATCACATGCTGCTGGAAACCACCAGAGGAACACAGGGGAAAGAGGATGAAGTCACTGTCCCGTACACATTCAACTGACTGCAGGAGCACTCAGACAAAATCAGGTAGGCAGTCTAAATGTTTAATTAGAAAAAACTTCTGGACAAAATCTCCCTGGAGCTGGAGAAATAGAAATATGGAAATATATGTGGCCTGCCTAACTCTAGAAAGCAAATGTAAAAACTAACATAAGTGTTAATGTGAAGAGTAAGAGGTAATTTTAGCATTAAGAGACAAAATCTAGAGCAGTTATTGGAAGCTGAAATAATCACGCGTAAAGAATAGATGCTAAAAGTCTCTTCCACGCCTGTCTAGTGCGTAAAATGTTTGTTGGTGTGCTATTCCTTTTAGAACATTTTGTCTTCTCGGTCTCTACATTAAGGAAAAACTAAAGACCTTTCAACAAAACATCACTGGCGTGGAAAGGATCTAATATTGCACTGAGTCAGAGAGCAAGCCAGCAACATCAGTGAGGCAGGACCAATATGAGTTCATACCTTGTATTGACATGGCTTTATGTTTCCTTAAAATCACAAGCCTTTACTGTGCCTGTACTTTGCTCCCTCCAGCTTGAAGAAAAAGAAAGATGTGTTAAGGAGTTTATCGTCTCGACGGAGCTACAAGGTAAGTGGCTGGAAGAAATATACAGTACTGTGAAAAATATTGTGGAAAAAATTATCTCCAGACTGGCCTGTATATGACCACTGAGACTGAAAGTTGGCTCGGGGTCTGTTGGAATCATTCTGGTTTTCTACAGTGATCTTGTGGGGGAGGGTGCGTTTAGTAAAATATAGCTGGGTCAGTGTCAGATGATTTGCAGTTAGCAGATAATGCAAGAACTACAAAGGACCAAAATGACACAGAGGTATCTTTTTAAAAAGAGAAATCGAGCTAGTCCTCTACACATAACTATTTGTAGCTATAACTGGTATGTTGGCACGAACAGGAAGAAGAGGTTTATCTTGGAAAAATGCAAAGCACTGCATAGAAGTAGTCCAGATTTGCAGTAAGAGGGCTGAGAATGCAAAAGTACCAACAAAGAAATGAGTCATCCTACTCATTCATAGTTTTCCCCTGTTGCAAAGTAAGACACAGCCATTTAAGTCAAAATCATGCTAAAGCATTTTCACTTTGCAACTGGTGATGGGTTAAAGGGAAGTGGCACAGAGCTGATTACAGAAGTTTAACGATGAGGAGTAACTCCATGATCCCTGGTAACTCAGTCACTTTGGACTCTGTATACTGACATGCAGGTAATGAAGAGAAATGTATTAAATATGCCCGTTTGCTGGTCCTACTCATTCATAGTTTTCCCCTGTTGCAAAGACACAGCCATTTAAGTCAAAATCATGCTAAAGCATTTTCACTTTGCAACTGGTGATGGGTTAAAGGGAAGTGGCACAGAGCTGATTACAGAAGTTTAACGATGAGGAGTAACTCCATGATCCCTGGTAACTCAGTCACTTTGGACTCTGTATACTGACATGCAGGTAATGAAGAGAAATGTATTAAATATGCCCGTTTGCTGGCAAGCCAGTGACAGCTCAGAGACTAACGGTGACCGTAAGGATCAGACACAGGGGTTTGGGGGGGGGGGGGGGCAGGGAAGGAATCAAAGAAGTTAAATTATGTGCTCTAGTCTGTACAGTGATAAGGGAGGGCCAGATTCTGCTCAGTCACGTCCTAGGAGTTTGGTGAGAACCTGCTGATATTAGCTGATATTAGCTCCACAGAGGACACCCTGGGTATGGAGGGAGTGTGGCTGTGCAAGCAGGGCTCTCCCTGCAAGCTGGTGCAACACGGCGGCGCTGAACGTCACGGGGCTGACCGCAGCTGCTTGATGTTCATGAGGGAAAAAACAATGGGGAATCAATTACAGCATTAGGGAGGTGAATAAACAATGAGGGAGCAGGGGCTATATATCAGGGAAGAAAACACAGTGGGAGATGTGTGTAAGGCGATACAGGCTAGGATGGGTTTATTATAGACAATTTTACTATCCTCTATGAATTCCCAAGTGTGAGTTTATTAGTATAAGCACAGAGTGCTTATATAGTAACATTCTCTTGAATGTGAGAAGAAATAAACTACGCTGGCATAACATGCCCTTATGCTGATACAGACTGGGCCCGCTCCACCAGTCATCATAGCTTAAAAATCAGATAGTTTAAAAATCAGACGCCACTAGCTGAAAAAAATAGGCTGATACAAAAGTGTGTCCAGGAAAGGCCTTTCATTTCCAGAGCTTATTTTAGATTTTGCTGATTAGATGAGATTGTTCTGGTTTTTAGTGAACTAGTTCAGCTTCTACCATCTTCAGTTTCCAAGGTGAAGAGTGGCCCATATTCATTTTACTGATTTTCTAATTACGTGTTTGTTAGCCATTGTTGTTGCTTTGAGTATGTCCAATGCCTCATAAGGCATTGTCCTTTTACAATCATTTGGCTAAAGATCCCAAACAAGAATTAAGATTCCTATATTTATGAGCTATGCCTTGGGATTTGACTTGCTGAGTATAAAAAGAACCAGTGAGGCAGAGACAAAGGACATTTCACTGCTCTTCAAGGGCTTGGGTTATGGGTGTTGAACAGAGAAAGAGATTTCTTTTCTCTCTTGAAGTAGCCTATTTCCCAAGAATGGCGCTGAGTGACCTCCTTTACCCAGACAACCCCAAGAGAAGGCAAGAATTGATCCACCTGCACCAGGAATTGCTCGACTGCATGTCCACAAATTTCCGTGCAACAAATGAGCTGGCGGGAGTGCTGAATGAACACCTGGGCTGTACCATCCCCCACATTCAGATGAGAGCGAGCGGCACTGTTAAGGAAAACTGTGACATTATGATTCAAGCGATGAGTGAGATTCAGCATCAGGTACAGAAGATTGATAGTGACATGAAGGAAAAGCTAGAGCCTGTGCTCTACCAGAAGCTGTATGACATCAAAGAGCCCGAGCTGGAGAAAATTGCAATAGCCCATAAAGTTTTTTCCATTGTTCTTGGAGAAGCGACTTCAACAGCTGGGATGGTAGCTATCAAACTTCTTAGCTCCAATCTGATAACTCTCACTGTGAGCAAGCTCGTCAGTCTCCTCGCGCAGATTGGGGCATCTGTTCTTGGGGGAATCAGCATCACCATTCTCGGGCTCGGCATTGAAATGATCCTCCATGCCATCCTGGGAGCCATGGAGAGGAATCAGCTTCTGGCAGCTGTGAGAAGCTACGAGAAGCACCTGGCTGAGTTTAAAGCAGCCTCAGAAAAGTACCAGCGTGCCATACGAGACGTGACTTCTTTGGTGAGACAGCAGGTTCAGTGAATGAAGCTGGAGTTCTCTCTCCTGCTGTGACAGCGGCTGCAGCAGCTACGCTTTTTGATTCATTACGCTAAATGAACTGCTGATGGCTTTTTTTCTTATTAGTGGCAGCAGAGCAAGAGATGTGACAGATCAGGGAATTGGCACTGAAATATATTAATAGGGACTGGCTTATAAATGCTTCTGGGAGGCAACATTTCAAATACCTCGCACCTTTCCTTCAGCTATTTTCTGGAATGCATGGTAGAGAACCTTGAACTGGAATTCATACTACTGAAAATTATATCCTCTGCTGGAGCAGTAGTGGTGAGAAGGTGTGATTTTTCTCTTACGGTGTTTCTGTATCAAAGATGACAAGATGATGGGAGAAAACAGTTTCAACAAGCCAGTCATTGTCACCATCTGGAGGGCTCATCAGGATAGCTGTAGATGCTAATCTCTTAGCATGGATTAGTGCTAAATCTGACAGGCTGCATTCCCTGTTCGCTGAACTGCTTACAAGGACTAGCTGAAGCATATTTAACTGCTATTTCCTGTCCCATCTCTGCCTAAGGAGCCAGCCAGAGATCGTCTTTAAATAAACTCTAGTCCCAGTAGCTTAGCAGGTAAGAGAAGCATGGGCCTACAGGCAAACGCACACAACCTTGCCCCACAACTGAGAGAAACTGGCTGTAGTGTTCCAGGTGTGCTTGGCTGTGAATAACCTCTGATGCTCGGTAATGCCCCACTCCTGCTGACCCACAGGCAAATATTTCTGCGCAGTTGCTGCTCTGTTGATTGAAATGGGATTGTACACACGTGTAAGCGTCTGCAGGATTACAGCCCTATTAATACACTGAATTTATTTTCACGTGCTTTACCCAGTCCCACCAGTGTGGAACTTCCAAGAGCATGCTCAGATTCTGCATTTCACAATAAGCTACCGAATGTCCTTATTTTTTGGATTTTAAAAACAAAGCCGGAAGCAAGAATATGATTTGCAGTCTCTTGCTCTGATTTGCTGTGGTTTGCTTTTTTTGCTTTGATCTTTGGAAAGAAAATGTAATTTAAGAATTAATAAAAATGTATCTGCATATTGTAAGACCTCTCTTTGCTGTACTCGGTTTGGGGTTTTTTTGTTCTGTCTGAAAACCAAATAATGAAAAAAGATTTAAATATTCATTATAGATGCAATTTATAAATTCTTTTTTATACCCACAATAGACTAATCTAGTAGGATTCTGTACAGGTTCCTTTTTTAGTACCAGCTTGCCTCATACTAAAAGCATACTCGATTAATATTCAATATTACCAATACTAGATTGTGAAAGTAAAGAGATGGGTGAGATTACAACAGGGAAGCTCTCCATTGGCTTCATAACCCTTCCGTTCTGGGTTTTGGTGTTTTCCTGTTTTGTTTTTGTTTTTTTTCTCCCCTACTGTTCTCACTTTCAATCATCTTTTCTGACTCCTCTTTGCTTTTGTGTTCAAAAGCCACTAGATGGCAATGCAGCGGCGGGCTCTCAAGCAGCTCTGCCAGCCATCAGGGAGAAAGCCCCGGGTTCAGGAGTATGGATGGGTTCCAGGGACCGACAAACTGGGACCAGCACAAACCCCAGACTGGGCGATGTGGGTCAGGAGAGACAGTTCAGAGGAGGCAAAAAGCACTGCCTTGCCTCACATGAGGTATTGTGGTGGGTGACACGGTGACCTGAAACATCATTTCTCCAAGACGTGACACCTCCTGACTCCTGACACAAGTGGCACTCGACTTAGAGGTACTTGTTTAGAGGCAAGAGACTGTCAATCAGCAGAACAGCAATATTTGAGTCTTGGAGAGGCAGGGGTTCTTGGCTCCTGCTGACTTCCTATGTGCAAACATGCGTTTTAATTTAGGAAGAAAACTCACTAGCTCGGTACGTATCTTTGTGAGAGTGCCAATTGCTGCTGTACAAGAACAGTGGAGTCAAATAAAAACAAATCTGTTGTTCTTTTCAGGCAGCTCATCCACATTTTCTTGGAAGCAAATTCTAAGCAGTGTCGGGGGAAGTGGGATACGCAATGAGGAATGTAAAGATACACGATTTCTGTTCACCTCTTGATAGATCCTTGTTCCTGGTGGGCTTACAGGAAAGCTGGCTTGCCCGCAACAGCAGGTGTGGCAGGTGTCCTCATGCCCATGAGATGTTGCAAGATGGTGAAGATATTGGAGGCTGGCGGG